ATTGAGCCGGAGGCTGTTAAGTAACTATATTTGGGTCCTCTTATATTCTTATTGTACCACAATTACAGTGAGGGGCCCACCTAAGTCATTCCAGCTTAGGAGTGAAGGCTCGTGAGCTAGCCTGCCCCAATCAAAATAATCAAACACAAGCATCGACCGCAAACAAAAATTCAAAATATGGCACGGCTGGACTCGTAAAAATGCGGCAAAGCAAAGAGGCATCCATGCTCTTACTCTTACTCATTGGGGTAACATTAGGGTACTATCAACCCCAACCATGAAGAATCAAATGGAATATGAAATGGAAACTGGGTAAGTATATATACATATATATATATATGTTTATGTTATTATATGCTCCTATTCCTACTGTTGCTATTTACTACTGTGAGCCATGGCGCCCCATTTGCGTCGCAGGACTGGAGCGGCGTGGGGAGAATGATGGTGAATCCTCACAAGAAACCAGCAGGCTCCCATGTTCTGAGCTACTAAATGGGTAGTTCCCAAAATTACTGTAGGGTCTCATTTTGGTACCCCTAGATAGTGAGTGCTGTAGTGTAATGAATCCATAACCAAACGGGGCCCAAACGTAAAACTATGCTTGTCCTGGGGCTGGCAGGGGATGCAGGGGTTCCAAACTAAGTAGCTAGCAGTAGCAATCGCATGCCAAGGCGCCTGTGGTGTGGCCAGCTGAACGGCTGTGGACTGCGTCGTCGGCTGGGCAAGGTATTGACGGCCTGTACTCACCTCAGCTTCTGGCTTGAGCTGTTCAAAGACGGCACGTGCAGGGGCTGGAAATTGGTACTTAGCGAATTTTCAATTTTGCTAGCATGCCAGGATGTCAGAGCACGCCCTGTGCGCCATGGAGCTTTACAAATCTGCTGGTTTTTGGCCCCCGGTTAAACAAAAGCGTATTCATGCTGTAGGCAACCGTCTGGTGTTGCAACCAGATGGTAGAACTGCAAGGTCGTAAGATCCTGAGCCTCCCATGAGCAACAAGGCGCTGTGATTCATGCCAATGAAGACACTTGCTGAGAATCTTGGCGCGGCTTAGCATCACTATGCATCCGCTCTGCGCACGATGTGTGCAGAGCATGGGAATTTGCCAGGGCTAAGATGTTGGCTTCACACTGAGCTCCCAGGCGTACTTGGAAGGCGGCGGGTAAACAGAGGCCGCTGGCGGTGCCGGCTGGGAGCCGTAGGACCAGTGAGTGACCTTCAGGACTATGAACGCACTCGGATCCGCAACGCCAAGCGTGAACGTCCAGGTTGCAGGGCCTTTACCTTCGCCACCGCTGCCACAGCCGCAACAATGGCGGTGCTGGGAGAGGATGGCGATCTGCATCGTGCTTTCTAGGGCGGGCATCTCATGAACACGTCAATGACATCTCTCTCAAAATGCGGGTCTGCATGACGTCGGAGACAGTCAGAAGGTTGCATAGGTTTAGCCCCATCTGAAAGCGGCGCCTGAGCACCTGCCGCACTGAAGACGGCCACATCATTCGCGGCGTTTCCTGAGCGCAAAAGAAAATGATAACAAAACAAGCCTCAACACCGGCCATGTGACATGTCACCATGGCTGCACACTTCAGAGGATGAAATGAATGACACCGAACAATGGATGCTACCTACATTAGACCTTTTACAGCACTGGGCAGCCTAGTTGCAGAGAGCTG